GACGGGATATAGTAGATTGAGCTAGCATTGGGACGGGATATAGTAGATTGAGCTAGCATTGGGACGGGATATAGTAGATTGATGCTAGATTGGGACGGGGATATATTAGATTAGCTAGCATTGGGACGGGATATAGTAGATTGAGCTAGCATTGGGACGGGATATAGTAGATTGAGCTAGCATTGGGACGGGGATAGGTGATTGAGCTCGCATGGGACGGATATGGTAGATTGAGCAGCTGGGACATTGTCTCACCAGTCGGGTACGGCTGTGCCATTCTTTGACATTCCACGTGGCCTGGGCCACCCAACTCTATACGATGGCCCTGAACAAGACGTGAGATGAGAATGAATGGTTAAACTTCATTTTGGAAAACTACTTTACACCACTCAGTTGACATTGAATCTGCTGTATTATGTAATTGGGGGGCTTCTCCGTTATGTATACCGTCACTGTTCTCATTCCTTATAGGAAACTACACGGTTTCTATGCCTTACTAGTAAAAACTTACACTGTTATCATGCCTGTTATAGTAAACCACCACTGTTCTCATTGCCTTATAGTAACGACACTGTTCATGCCTTATATTAAACTACATTGTCTATGCCTTATAGTAAACTACACTGTTCTCATGCCTTATAGTATAACTACATCTGTTATCATTGCCTCTTATAGGTAAAACTACATTGTTTCTCATGCCTTATAGTAAACTTAACCCACTGTCTCGTTGCTTATAGACATACACCTGTTATCATGCTTATCGTTAAACTACACTGTTCGTGCCTTATAGTTAAACTACACTGTTTCTCAGCCTATTATAGTAAAACTACACTGTCCTCATGTCCCTATAGTAACTACACTGTTTCATGCCGTTATTAGTAAACTACACTGTTCTCAGCCTTTACAAGAAATCTACACGTTCTAATGCCTTAATAAACTAAAGTTCTCATGCCGGATAGCTAAACTACCACTGTTCTCACATGCCTTTACAGTAAACGACACCGTTCTCCATGCTCGTTAGGATAACTTACAATGTTCTCATGCCTTACTAGAAACTACACTATTCTATGCCTTATGTAAACTACCACTGTTTCTCATGCCGTATAGTAAAATGAACTGTTCTCAGCGCTTATAGAAACTACAATGTTCCATGCCTTATAGGTAAACTACACTGTCTCTGCCTTATAGTAAACTACATGTTCTATGCCTTAAAACCGTCACTGATTCTCATGCCTTAGTAGTAAACTACCATGTTATCAGCCTTATAGAAACTACCCACTGTTATCATGCCTTACAGTAACAATTACAGTTCCTCATGCCCGATAGTAAACTACACTGTTCTCATGCCTTACGTAAAAAATAAACTGTTCTCAGTGACTTATAGAGGCCAGGGTTCTCCTCTAGGATCTCCATTTTATTGGAACAGTTGCTCTAACAGTGAGAAACGCAGACTCGCGTTCTAAACATTTAAGTCTTTTTACTGAAAGACTTATCTCTCAGTACGGTCATATTGATGAGTGTATCGGCCCCAGGAGTGTGAAGGTGAACGGAAAGGCTCTGGAGCAACGAACAGCCCTTGCTGTCTCTGCCAGGCCGGTTCCCCTCTCTCCACTGGGGTTCTCTGCCTCTAACCCTGTTACAGGGGCTGAGTCACTGGCTTGCTGGTGCTCTTTCATGCCGTCCCTAGGAGGGGTGCGTCACTTGAGTGGGTTGAGTTACTGACGTGATCTTCCTGTCTGGGTTGGCGCCCCCCCCTTGGTTTGTGCTGTGGTGGAGACCTCTGTGGGCTATACTCGGCCTTGTCTCAGGATTGTAAGTTGGTGGTTTGAGGATATCCCTCTAGTGGTGCGGGGGCTGTGCTTTGGCAGAGTGGGTGGGGTTATATCCTTCCTGTTTGGCCCTGTCCGGGGGTTTCTTCGGATGGGGCCACAGTGTCTCCGGACCGCTCCTGTCTCAGCCTCCAGTATTTATGCTGCAGTAGTTTATGTGTCGGGGGGCTGGGGTTAGTTGGTTATACCTGGAGTACTTCTCCTGTCTTATCCAGTGTCCTGTGTGAATTTAAGTATGCTCTCTCTAATTCTCTCGTTCTCTCTTTCTCTCTGAGAACCTGAGCCCTAGGGACCATACGTCAGGACTACCGGGCATGCTGACACCTTGCTGTCCCCAGTCCGCCTGGCCTTGCTGCTATTCCAGTTTCAACTGTTCTGCCTGCGGTTACGAAACCCCTACCTGTCCCAGACCTGCTGTTTTCAACTCTTAATGATCGGCTATGAAAAGCCAACTGAGAGACCTGAGCCCCTAGGACCATACGTCGGGACTACCGGCCGTGGTGACTCCTTGCTGTCCCCAGTCCGCCTGGCCTTGCTGCTATTCCAGTTTCAACTGTTCTGCCTGCGGTTATGGAACCCCTACCTGTCCCAGACCTGCTGTTTTCAACTCTTAATGATCGGCTATGAAAAGCCAACTGAGATTTATTCCTGATTATTATTTGACCATGCTTGTCACTTATGAACATTTTTGAACATCTTGGCATGGTTCTGTTATAACCTCCACCCGGCACAGCCAGAAGAGGACTGGCCACCCCTCATAGCCTGGTTCCTCTCTAGGTTTCTTCCTAGGTTTTGGCCTTTCTAGGGAGTTTTTCCTAGCCACCGTGCTTCTACACCTGCATTACTAGCTGTTTGGGGTTTTAGGCTGGGTTTCTGTACAGCACTTCGAGATATTAGCTGATGTACGAAGGGCTATATAAAATAAAATTGATTGATTGATTGATTGATTATAGTAAACTACACTGTTCTCATGCCTTATAGTAAACTACACTGTTCTCATGCCTTACAGTAAACTACACTGTTCTCATGCCTTATAGTAAACTACACTGTTCTCATGCCTTATAGTAAACTACACTGTTCTCATGCCTTATAGTAAACTACACTGTTCTCATGCCTTATAGTAAACTACACTGTTCTCATGCCTTTTAGTAAACTACACTGTTCTCATGCCGTATAGTAAACTACACTGTTCTCATGCCGTTATAGTAAACGGTATTCTCATGCCCTTATAGTGAAACTCCAACTGTTCTCATGCCCCTTATAGTAAACTACACTGTTCTCATGCCTTATAGTAAACTACACCGTTCTCATGCAAGGAACAAACACAATAGTGTGTGTGTGTGTGTGTGTGTGTGTGTGTGTGTGTGTGTGTGTGTGTGTGTGTGTGGTGTGTGTGTGTGTGTGTGTGTGTTTACCTCCCAGCTGCCAACAGGTCATAGTTGTTCTGCTTCCACCCAAACTGTCAGAAAAAACACACATCACATCAACACATCACAACAACACATCACAACAAAACATCATAACAACACATCACAACAACACATCAAATCACAACAACACATCACAACACATCACAACAACACATCACAACACATCACAACAACACATCACAACAACACATCACAACAACATCACATCAAAACACGCAAAAAATAAAATTATGTTTGAGTGTAATCTGTTTCCCTGGTCTGAGGACTGTTTTGACTGTTACAAGAACGGATGGTAGACATGAGAGGGATTAGAGTCCACACACTCACTCACTCACTCACTCACTCACTCACTCACTCACTCACTCACTCACTCACTCACTCACTCACTCACTCACTCACTCACTCACACTCACACACACACACACACACACACACACACACAGAGAGTAACCTACAGAGTGCATAAGAGGTCCGAGGGCGACAGCACTGTCCACACATCTCCCTGTGACTACAATGTCAGCCCCTAGGTCAAGACACTTCTGGATGGGTACCGCACTGTGGACAGAGGAAGAGGACAAGAGGGGGTACACAGTGAGTACACAGTGGCAGAATACATGACCCCTGTGACTGACCCTATATTAAAGAAGGCATTTGACTATGTACAGACTCAGTGAGCATAGCCTTGCTATTGAGAAAGGCCACCGTAGGCAGACCTGGCTCTCAAGAGAAGACAGGCTATGTGCACACTGCCCACAAAATGAGGTGGAAACTGAGCTGCACTTCCTAACCTCCTGCCAAATGTATGACCATATTAGAGACACATATTTCCCTCAGATTACACAGATCCACAAAGAATTTGAAAAACACAATTTTGATCAATTTATCTACTGGGTGAAAAACCACAGTGTGCCATCACAGCTGCAAGATTTGTGACCTGTTGCCACAAGAAAAGGGCAACCAGTGAAGAACAAACACCATTGTAAATACAATCCATATTTATGTTTATTTATTTTCCCTTTTGTACTTTAACTATTTGCACATTGTTACAACACTGTATATAGACATAATATGACATTTGAAATGTCTTTATTTTTTTGAAACTTCTGAGTGTAATGTTTACTATTAATATTTATTGTTTATTTCACTTTTGTTTACTATCTACTTCACTTGCTTTGGCAATGTTAACACACGTTTCCCATGCCAATAAAGCCCTTAAATTGAAATTGAAATTGAATTGAGAGAGAGAGAGAGTGAGAGGGCACTGGAGAATAACCTCGTACCATAAACAAAAACTGATTGTCCAACATTGTATTGTTGTATGCTGAAGTGGGGGAGGGAGGGATAGAGGGAGAGTGGGGGGAGGGAGGGAGAGTGGGGGAGGGAGGGAGGGAGAGTGGGGGGAGGGAGGGAGGGAGAGTGGGGGGGATAGAGGGAGGTGAGGGAGGGAGGGAGGGAGGGAGAGTGGGGGGGGATAGAGGGAGGATAGAGGGAGAGTGGGGGGAGAGAGGAGGGGAGAGTGGGGGAGGGAGGGAGAGTGGGGGGGGAGGGAATAGAGGGAGAGTGGGGGGAGGGGCGGGAGAGAGGGAGGGAGAGAGAGAGGGAGGGAGGGGGAGAGAGGGGAGAGTGGGTAGAGGGAGGGGACAGAGGGAGAGTGGGTGGAGGGAGGGCAGGGAGAGTGGGGGGGGGGAGGGAGGGAGAGTGGGGGGAGGGATAGAGGGATAGAGGGAGAGTGGGAGGAGAGATGAGAGGGAGAGTGGGGAGAGGAAGGGATAGAGGGAGAGTGGGGGAGGGAGGGAGGGAGAGGGAGGTGGGGAGAGGGGGGGAGTGGGGGAGGGAGAGGGAGAGGGCGGGGAGGAGGGGAGAGTGGGGGAGGGAGGGAGGGAGGGAGAGTGGGGGAGGGAGGGAGGGAGAGTGGGGGAGGGAGGGAGGGAGAGTGGGGGGGAGGGAGGAGGGAGAGTGGGGGAGGGAGGGAGGGAGGGAGAGTGGGGGAGGGGAGGGAGGGAGGGAGAGTGGGGAGGGAGGGGGAGGGAGGAGTGGGGGAGGGAGGGAGGGAGAGGGGTGGAGGATGGAGAGTGGGGGAGGGGAGGGAGGGAGGAGAGTGGGGGAGGGAGGGAGGGAGGAGGGGGAGGGAGGGAGGGAGAAGTGGGGGGAGGGAGGGATAGAGGGGAGAGGGGGGAGGGAGGGAGAGGGAGGAGTGGGGGGAGGGAGGGAGGGAGAGTGGGGGAGGGAGGGAGGGAGAGTGGGGGAGGGAGGGATAGAGGGAGAGTGGGGGGGGAGGATAGGGAAGAGGGAGTGAGAGAGTGGGGAGGGAGGGAGGGAGGAGAGTGGGGGAGGGAGGAGGGAGAGTGGGGGGGAGGGAGGGACAGAGGGGAGAATGGGAGAGTAGGAGGGAGGATTTAGAGGGAGAGTGGGGGGGAGGGAGGTGACAGAGGAGAATGGGAGCGTAGGAGGGGAGGGATAGAGGGAGAGTGGGGCGGGAAGTAGGAGAATGGGAGGTAGTGAGGGAGGGATAGAGGGAGAGTGGGGGGGGAGGGAGGGAAAGAGGGAGAATGTTCTTTGCTGAAAACAACCCAACATTGTATTGCTCTAACATATGTGGGGGAAAAAAGTATTTAATCAGCCACCAATTGTGCAAGTTCTCCCACTTAAAAAGATGAGAGAGGCCTGTAATTTTCATCATAGGTACACGTCAACTATGACAGACAAAGGAGGAAAAAAAATCCAGAAAATCACACTGTAGGATTTTTAATGAATTTATTTGCAAATTATGGTGGAAAATAAGTATTTTTGTTGGCAATGACACAGGTCAAACATTTTCTGTAAGTCTTCACAAGGTTTTCACACACTGTTGCTGGTATTTTGGCCCATTCCTCCATGCAGATCTCCTCTAGAGCAGTGATGTTTTGGGGCTGTCGCTGGGCAACACGGACTTTCAACTCCCTCCAAAGATTTTCTATGGGGTTGAGATCTGGAGACTGGCTAGGCCACTCCAGGACCTTGAAATGCTTCTTACGAAGCCACTCCTTCGTTGCCCGGGCGGTGTGTGTTTGGGATCATTGTCATGCTGAAAGACCCAGCTACGTTTCATCTTCAATGCCCTTGCTGATGGAAGGAGGTTTTCACTCAAAATCTCACGATACATGGCCCCATTCATTCTTTCCTTTACACGGATCAGTCGTCCTGGTCCCTTTGCAGAAAAACAGCCCCAAAGCATGATGTTTCCACCCCCATGCTTCACAGTAGGTATGGTGTTCTTTGGATGCAACTCAGCATTCTTTGTCCTCCAAACACGACGAGTTGAGTTTTTACCAAAAAGTTATATTTTGGTTTCATCTGACATTCTCCCAATCCTCTTCTGGATCATCCAAATGCACTCTAGCAAACTTCAGACGGGCCTGGACATGTACTGGCTTAAGCAGGGGGACACGTCTGGCACTGCAGGATTTGAGTCCCTGGCGGCGTAGTGTGTTACTGATGGTAGGCTTTGTTACTTTGGTCCCAGCTCTCTGCAGGTCATTCACTAGGTCCCCCCGTGTGGTTCTGGGATTTTTGCTCACCGTTCTTGTGATCATTTTGACCCCACGGGGTGAGATCTTGCGTGGAGCCCCAGATCGAGGGAGATTATCAGTGGTCTTGTATGTCTTCCATTTCCTAATAATTGCTCCCACAGTTGATTTCTTCAAACCAAGCTGCTTACCTATTGCAGATTCAGTCTTCCCAGCCTGGTGCAGGTCTACAATTTTGTTTCTGGTGTCCTTTGACAGCTCTTTGGTCTTGGCCATAGTGGAGTTTGGAGTGTGACTGTTTTATACTGATAACAAGTTCAAACAGGTGCCATTAATACAGGTAACGAGTGGAGGACAGAGGAGCCTCTTAAAGAAGAAGTTACAGGTCTGTGAGAGCCAGAAATGTTGCTTGTTTGTAGGTGACCAAATACTTATTTTCCACCATAATTTGCAAATAAATTCATAAAAAATCCTACAATGTGATTTTCTGGATTTTTTTTCCTCATTTTGTCTGTCATAGTTGACGTGTACCTATGATGAAAATTACAGGCCTCTCTCATCTTTTTAAGTGGGAGAACTTGCACAATTGGTGGCTGACTAAATACTTTTTTCCCCCACTGTATAACAGTTCAGTACTGTATTGTTCTAACAGTATATAATAGTTCAGTATTGTATTGTTCTAAAAGTATATAATAGTTCAGTATTGTATTGTTCTAACAGTATATAATAGTTCAGTATTGTATTGTTCTAACATTATATAATAGTTCAGTACTGTATTGTTCTAACAGTATATAATAGTTCAGTATTGTATTGATCTAACAGTATATAATAGTTCAGTATTGTATTGATCTAACAGTATATAATAGTTCAGTTTTGTATTGATCTAACAGTATATAATAGTTCAGTATTGTATTGATCTAACAGTATATAATAGTTCAGTATTGTATTGTTCTAACAGTATATAATAGTTCAGTATTGTATTGATCTAACAGTATATAATAGTTCAGTATTGCATTGTTCTAACAGTAAATAATAGTTCAGTATTGTATATAATAGTTGAGTATTGTATTGTTGTATTTCTATTGATCCCAGACTTACCCCAGGTAGGCATTCATACTGTGGACGGTTTTAGGCAGCTTTGACCTGCTCACCCCATCAGCCATTCTCACCTCAGACAGACTATCTTTCTGGAGGACAGGAAAGGTGGGAAGAGGAGAAGAGGAGAGGAGATGAGAGGAGGGAGGAGGGGAGGAGAGGAAAGGAGGGAGGAGGAGAGGAAAGGAAAGGAGGGAGGAGGAGAGGAGAGGAGAGGAGGGAGGAGAGGAGAGGAGAGGGAGGAGGAGAGGAGAGGAGGAGCGGAGAGGAGAGGAGAGGAGAGGAGAGGAGAGGAGTTGGCTATACAGAATGAAATGATGATAACGAAGAGCGTACGTACTTGAGCCATGAGGTCATCGCCTGTCACCACGGCGACCTTGAGGTGGAGTCCGGCCTTCTTGACTACTTCCTGTATGGCAGCAGCGCACGCCAGCGGGTTCACACCCCCGGCATTACTGACCACCCGGATACCTACAAACACACACACACACACACACGATGCCAGATATAGTGGTCAACATGATGTCTAGTACTATGTTGATGTGTAAGGTCAACATGATGCCAGATCTGGTAATATGTTGATGTGTACGGTCAACATGATGCCAGATATAGTAATATGTTGATGTGTAAGGTCAACATGATGCCAGATAGAGTAATATGTTGATGTTTAAGGTCAACATGATGTCTAGTAATATGTTGATGTGTAAGGTCAACATGATGCCAGATAGAGTAATATGTTGATGTTTAAGGTCAACATCATGTATAGTAATATGTTGATGTGTAAGGTCAACATGATGCCAGATATAGTAATATGTTGATGTGTAAGGTCAACATGATACCAGATAGAGTAATATGTTGATGTGTAAGGTCAACATGATGCCAGATATAGTAATATGTTGATGTGTAAGGTCAACATGATGTCTAGTAATATGTTGATGTGTAAGGTCAACATGATGCCAGATATAGTAATATGTTGATGTGTAAGGTCAACATGATACCAGATATAGTAATATGTTGATGTGTAAGGTCAACATGATGCCAGATATAGTAATATGTTGATGTTTAAGGTCAACATGATGTCTAGTAATATGTTGATGTGTAAGGTCAACATGATGCCAGATATAGTAATATGTTGATGTGTAAGGTCAACATGATGCCAGATATAGTAATATGTTGATGTGTAAGGTCACCATGATGTCTAGTAATACGTTGATGTTTAGGGTCAACATGAAGCCAGATCTAGTAATATGTTGATGTGTAAGGTCACCATGATGTCTAGTAATACGTTGATGTTTAGGGTCAACATGATGCCAGATATAGTAATATGTTGATGTGTAAGGTCAACATGATGCCAAATATAGTAATATGTTGATGTGTAAGGTCAACATGATGCCAGATATAGTAATATGTTGATGTGTAAGGTCAACATGATGTCTAGTAATATGTTGATGTGTAAGTTCAACATGATGCCATATATAGTAATATGTTGATGTTTAAGGTCAACATGATGTCTAGTAATATGTTGATGTTTAAGGTCAACATGATGCCAGATAGAGTAATATGTTGATGTTCAAGGTCAACATGATGTCTAGTAATATGTTGATGTTTAAGGTCAACATGATGTCTAGTAATATATTGATGTGTAAGGTCAACATGATGTCTAGTAATATATTGATGTGTAAGGTCAACATGATGTCTAGTAATATGTTGATGTGTAAGTTCAACATGATGCCAGATATAGTAATATGTTGATGTTTAAGGTCAACATGATGTCTAGTAATATGTTGATGTTTAAGGTCAACATGATGCCAGATAGAGTAATATGTTGATGTTCAAGGTCAACATGATGTCTAGTAATATGTTGATGTTCAAGGTCAACATGATGTCTAGTAATATGTTGATGTTTAAGGTCAACATGATGTCTATTAATATGTTGATGTCTAAGGTCAACATGATGCCAGATAGAGTAATATGTTGATGTGTAAGGTCAACATGATGTCTAGTAATATGTTGATATTTAAGGTCAACATGAAGTCTGGTCTTACCTTTCTTATGGATATCGTGGATAAAGGGAGCTATGGCTACTTGGACGAAGTCAGGGGCATAGCCCATATTCTGAAAGAAGAAGAAACTGATTGATTAGATAACTAATATTGATAGGCTATTGATGAATAGGTCGGACTCAAAAGGTAATTGACAAGAAAACTAATGATTGATTATTGATAGGTGATGAGCTCACAGGCATCTTGGTCTTGGCCGCAGCGAGGAGAGACATGGTGATCTCACTGAGGTAGTCAAACACCAGATAGTCTATCTTCCCACTGTAGATCAGCTGGGGGACTGAGAGAGAGCGAGAGGGAGAAGAGTTTATAACCTGGTCAAGAGTATCCAGACAATACTTTGTCTGCTAAAAGTGAATCCATTGATCCAAGCTATCCATAATCATATCCATTGATATATAATGTTTGTAGATAGATAGTTAACGTTGTTATAAACGGACATAACACATGAATATAAGAGCTTATTCTGTACTAGGTATTTGTCCCAAATGACACCCTATTCCCTACATAACTAGGGCACTAGTTTTGACCATAACGCTATGGGTCTTGGTCAAAACTAGTGCACTACATACGAATAGGGTGCAATTTGTGACGTTCACCTAGAGTCACTGAGGTCAAGACGAATGAACCTTGTCCTTGTTGGCTAGACTAGAGAACAGGTCATGTGACTAGCCAATTACAACCATCTAGCCTGGTCTTACCTGACGCCGAGGTATCTCCCCAAAACCCCGACGCGCATCCTATCCTAACTGTGTCCTTAGCTGAAGAGGTGTAATGTGTGGCGCACTCGAAGCGATGCCTTGGGAAACTTCTGTTGCTGGTAGTTTTGTTGGACGGGTAGCCCGAGTGCAGAAATTTCGCCCCGTTGTAAGCAAACAAGGGTGTTTTCAAGCAAAACCCATTTGTCAGCCGTTGGACCCCCGATGAGTGGACGACGCGGGATAAATTGGAGATATTAGACATTGCAATTAAAATAGTTTAACCTGAATAAATGGAGAAAGTCAACTCTGGAAGTTCAAGGTACATTTAACTCGTGCGACGACCAAAACAGTCCGTGTAGGAACACAGGTCGAGGCTATCTTTGTTCCGCTCCGGTGAGTGTGACGTTTTGAAAATGGACGCATGATGGCGCTAGATGTACACATGTACGAGGCAATGATTGAAGTTGCAGTAGACCTCATTCCTTTCTGGTTTGTTTCCTCCACATTTGTCCGTGTTGAAAAGTTAAACAATGAGTGAGGATGTTGTGTGATTGTCACTGAGTCACTTTGACATTGAGTCAGCCCAGTCTCCTATTTCAAACGGATTGCGTAGGATAATGGATTACTATCTTGTGTCCAAGTTTCCTAAGTTTATTCTCCACGTGCTCAGGGTTACAACAGGTGTAAAACAGGACCGTGAAATGCTTACCTTGAGAGCTCTTTCCCAACAATGTAGTGATAATAATAATAATAATAATAATAATAATAATAATAATAATAATAATAACAGTATAGAAAATATAATAAAATAAAATAAAGAATAAAAACCACAACAGAACAAACTGTATTTAACATATTTAACATATTTAACATACTGGAGTTGACTGTCCCTGCCCTTGTCACGGGGAGGGATCTGCACCCAGGTCTCTCAAAGCTGAACCTAACCCGAACTATTTGGCCCGATAAATAATCATTTGTTAAATTGAATTAAAGTGCAATAAGTACGTGTAATCAGCAGCCAATGAGGCTGAGGGTGACGCTGATCCTGAAGTCTCGGGGCCACCTATAACGAGACCATGAGCCTGACTAATGTCCGCTGACCTTGAGCACCATAACATTCACATTGGCCTACGCCGTAAAACCTAATGCTCTGTCATTACTCAGCTGTTGAGGTTCAGATTCAGAGTGGTTAATAGTCACATGTACAGGTTGCAGGTGTGATTGCAGGGTACAGTGAACATCTTAGGCTCTGAGCTCAAACGTGCAGGACTGAGTGAGATAAAACAATGAAAACCTGTTGCACTTAATATATCATGAGTACAGTTAGTGATTTTGTAGTCACTACTCAAACCGATTGAGTCACTGTGACTCTGTAGGGCAGGGATGGGCAACTCGCGGCCCCCTTTTGAAGGCCCTAGGGTCAATAAAAAAATATATGTTATTTTTTGGGAACTCAGTCGGGTGACTTCTCATTTAGTTTTGAGTCAGTACCAAATAAACTTTAACTAATAATGACTTTTCATTGACTTTGAGTTCAACTTACTTAAGTATTTAAGTTAAAAACGACTTGGAGTTTACAGTGCATTATTATTATAATTATTATTTTATGTATTTATTAGCATGTGTAAGTACAATTTCATCACAATGCATGATATTACACATTTTTCATTCCCCCCCTCCCAATGTGTTGCTCACAGATACAGCACCAACACAGGTACAGCACCAATACAGGTACAGCACCAATACAGGTACAGCACCAATACAGGTACAGCACCAACACAGGTACAGCACCAATACAGGTACAGCACCAATACAGGTACAGCACCAATACAGGTACAGCACCAATACAGGTACAGCACCAACACAGGTACAGCACCAATACAGGTACAGCACCAATACAGGTACAGCACCAAACAGACAGCACCAATACAGGTACAGCACCAATACAGCTACAGCAATGCATACAATCAGACAAACAACACACACAAAAACACAACCATCAACAGAAATATTTTCATTAATGTCACTCACTAACTGTAAGTCGCTCTGGATAAGAGCGTCTGCTAAATGACTAAAATGTAAATTTATTTATTTGCTCTTATTGCCATGAAATTGATGATATTATGGAAATCATGTGGTCTGCCTTTGATGTTATAGAAAATGTTGTCCAAAGGGATGTAGCTAGATATTTAATTTATCCATTGTGTTAAAGTAGGGGGACTATCTGATGAAAGAAGGGATTTCTCCATATGCGAGCAAAATAAATGAGGAGAAGAGGCTCTGCATCATTTTGAAAAAATATAGAGGGTGTAAAATTGGAAGATTCTGAAACAATTTTTAAAATGTTGATAATATTGACATTTTGATGACATTAACTCTGCCCATAAGAGAAATAGGAAGTAACCTTTTCAATAACTGGAATGTTGTTCAAGTTTTACAAATCATATACATTACTGGGTGATTCCTAAGTACTTCAATTCTTCAAGGACTATTTCCATTTGAATTGGTCTTGTAAAGGTTTGGGGTTAAAGGTAGATATCAAGTCAAATGTGCCGAATACAACAGGTGTAGACCTTATCGTGAAATGCTTACTTACAAGCCCTTAACCAACAATGCAGTTTAAAGAAAATGAAGAGTTAAGAAAAATATTTACTAAATAAACTAAAGTAAAAAATGAAAGAGCAACAATAAAATAACAATAATGAGGCTATATACAGGGGGTACCGGTACCGAGTCAATGGGCTGGGGTACAGGTTAGTCCAGGTAATAACGAGGCGATATACAGGGGGTACTGGTACCGAGTCAATGTGCTGGGTACAGGTTAGTCGAGGTAATTGAGGTAATTTGTACATGTAGGTAGGGGTAAAGTGACTATGCATAGATAATAAACAGCGAGTAGCTGCAGCATTAAAAAGGGGGTGGGGGGGGGGGCTGTTAAGAAGCATTTTGGACCAAGACTTGGCGCTCTGGTACCGCTTGCTGTGCGGTAGCAGAGAGAACAGTCTATGACTAGGGTGGCTGGAGTCTTTGACAATTTTTAGGGCCTTCCTCTGACACCGCCTGGTATAGAGGTCCTGGATGGCAGGAAGCTTGGCCCCAGTGATGTACTAGGCCGTACGCACTACCCTCTGTAGCGCCTTGTGGTCGGAGGCAGAGCAGTTGCCATACCAGGCGGTGATGCAACCAGTCAGGATGCTCTCGATGGTGCAGCTGTATAACTTTTTGAGGATCTGAGGACCCATGCCAAATCTTTTCAGTCTCCTGAGGGGGAATAGGCTTTGTCGTGCCCTCTTCACGGCTGTCTTGGTGTGTTTGGACCATGATAGTTTGTTGGTGATGTGGACACCAAGGAACTTGAAGCTCTCAACCTGTTCCACTACAGCCCCGTCGATGAGAATGGGGGCGTGCTCAGTCCTCTTTTTCCTGTAGTCCACAATCATCTCCTTTGTCTTGATCACGTTGAGGGAGAGGTTGTTGTCCTGGCTCCACACTGCCAGGTCTCTGACCTCCTCCCTATAGGCTGTCTCATCGTTGTCGGTGATCAGGCCTACCACTGTTGTGTCGTCGGCAAACTTAATGATGGTGTTGGAGTCGTGCTTGGCCACGCAGTCATGGGTGAACAGGGAGTACAGGAGGGGACTAAGCACGCACCCCTGAGGGACCCCCGTGTTGAGGATCAGCGTGGCAGATGTGTTGTTGCCTACCCTTACCACCTGGGGGCGGCCCGTCAGGAAGTCCAGGATCCAGTTGCAGAGGGAGGTGTTTAGTCCCAGGGTCCTTAGCTTAGTGATGGACTTTGAGGGCACTATGGTGTTGAACGCTGAGCTGTAGTCAATGAACAGCATTCTCATGTAGGTGTTCCTTTTGTCCAGGTGGGAAAGGGCAATGTTGAGTGCAATAGAGATTGAGTCATCTGTGGATCTGTTGGGGCGGTATGCAAATTGGAGTGGGTCTAGGGTTTCCGGGATGATGTTTTTGATGTGAGCAATGACCAGCCTTTCAAAGCACTTCATGGCTACAGATGTGAGTGCTACGGGTCGGTAGTCATTTAGGCAGGATATCTTAGTGTTCTTGGGAACAGGGACTATGGTGGTCTGCTTGAAACATGTAGGTATTACATACTTGGCCAGGGACAGGTTGAAAATGTCAGGAAAGACACTTGCCAGGTGGTCAGTGCAAGCTCGGGGTACACGTCCTGTTAATCTGTCTAGCCCTGCGGCCTTGTGAATGTTAAAGGTCTTGCTCACATCAGCTACGGAGAGCGTGATCACACAGTCATCCGGAACAGCTGGTGCTCTCATGCATGCTTCAGTGTTGCTTGCCTCGAAGCACGCATAGAAGTAATTTAGCTCGTCTGGTAGGCTTGTGTCACTGGGCAGCTCGCGGCTGAGCTTCCCTTTGTAGTCCGTAATAGTTTGCAAGCCCTGCCACATCCGACGAGCATCGTTGGTGAAGTAGGATTCAATCGTAGTCCTGTATTGACGCTTTGCCTGTTTGATGGTTCGACGGAGGGCATAGTGGGATTTCTTATAAGCGTCCGGGTTAGAGTCCTGCTCCTTGAAAGCGGCAGCTCTACCCTTTAGCTCAGTGCAGAAGTTTCCTGTAATCCATGACTTCTGGTTGGGGTTTGTATGTATGGTCACTGTGGGGACAATGTCATCGATGCACTTATTGATGAAGCCAGTGACTGATGTGGTGTACTCCTCAATGCCATCGGATGAGTCCCGGAACATGTTCCAGTGTGTGCTAGCAAAACAGTCCTGTATTTGACCACTTCCGTATTAAGCGAGTCACTGGTACTTCCTGCTTTAGTTTTTGCTTGTAAGCAGCAATCAGGAGGATATAGTTATGGTCAGATTTGCCAAATGGAGGGTGAGGGAGAGCTTTGTATGCGTCTCTGTGTGTGGAGTAAAGGTGGTCTAGAGTTTTTTTCGTCTTGTTGCACATTTAACATGCTGGTAGAAATTAGGTAAAACAGATTTAAGTTTCCCTGCATTAAAGTCCCCGGCCACTAGGAGTGCCGCCTCTGGATGAGTGTTTTCCTGTTTGCCTAAGGCTTTATACAGCTCGTTGAGTGCGGTCTTAGTGCCAGCATCGGTTTGTGGTGGTAAACAAACAGCTACGAAAAATATAGATGAAAACTCTCTTGGTAAATAGTGTGGTCTACAGCTTATCATGAGATACTCTACCTCAGGCGAGCAAAACCTCGAGACTTCCTTAGTATTTGATTTCGCACACCAGCTGTTAGACACAGACCACCGCCCCTTGTCTTACCGGAGTCAGCTGTTCTGTAGAGTAGGTAGAATCTCGGGAACAATTGACTTTATAACCAGACAGTTTAACAAACTCTTCAAGCAATGACAGGAGGAATGGATTTGAGTATGAGGGGTCTAGGAGATAGAGCAAGACTTCATCCGCATACAATGATATAACATGGTACTCTTTTCCAATTGTAATTCCTTTCATTTGGTCATGTGATCTAATCATGGTGGCAAGGGGTTCTATGACCAAAGCAAAAAGTGCTGCACAACAGGAAGGGGGGCTGAGTACAGGATGTTCGTTTTAACAACTGCCATAGATGAATTCCTAAGAATTTGAATCCAAGAGATAAATATTCGACCAAAATTAAACCTTGATAATACAGACATTCCACTCTGTTGAATGTTATTTTTTTCAGCATCAAGGGAGACTACAACATTTGGGGTCTTATGATCATTAAAAGTGAAAAAGAATGTCAAAATATCTATGTAAATTATCAGAGGAGAGATGACACTGCACAAAACCAGTTTGGTCTGTGGATGAGATTGGGCAGCACAGATTCTAGGCGCAGAGTTAATATTTTTCAGCAATCAATTTATAATCAATATTTAAAAGCGACACCGGTCTATGGGAGGAGCACAACGTGTGATCTTTATCTTATTTTTTTCAGTAAAGTAATAGCTGCATGAGGTAAAGTATGAGGAAGCAGTTCTTTCTCCAGACAGGCCTTGATCATAGGGAGAAAGAAGGTCTCAGAGAATTGCCTGTAGAATTGTATAGGAGAACCATCTAATTCCGCTGCCTTTCCATTTTGGAGGGAACCCATAGTAATGTCTTGATCTAAATGTAGCTTTGGTTCTTATGGCAAAAGTTGGTAGATTTATATCTTTCTGGAAGCCATTAAGAGAGTCTCTGAGTTAAATCGCAAACTAGATGTGTACAAGTCTTCATAGAATAGTCTAAACGTTTCAGTAATTTGAAGTGGGTCTACTGTAACACTGCCATCCGTGGTTTTGTTTTTTTGTGTGTGTTTTTTTTGCGGTTTCTTTCTTTATTTGCCATGCCAGTCATTTTCCAGCCATTTCACCTTGTTCTACATGTCTTTGTTTTGTTTTTTAAAAAAAGCTCTATGGAGTGAGTTTTCAAGGTCTTGTATCTAATTTTTGTATTCTCTAGTTGGCGAAGTGTGAGAGGGTCTTTGATAGCCGAATGCAGATTCTCCAAGTATTTAATGTCCTTTTCAATATATTTTAATTCATCTTTAGTTTTCTTTTTTATTGAAGAAGCAAATGCTATGATGTTCTCTCTAATGTAGCCTTTAGTGGGTGCGGGGTTAGTGGGTGGGGGGGTTAGTGTGGGGGGGTTAGTGGGTGGGGGGGGTTAGTGGGTGGGGGAGGTTAGTGGGTGTGGGGGGTTAGTGGGTGGGGGAGGTTAGTGGGTGGGGGTGGTTAGTGGGTGGGGGAGGTTAGTGGGTGGGGGTGGTTAGTGGGTGGGGGAGGTTAGTGGGTGGGGGAGGTTAGTGGGTGGGTGTGGTTAGTGGTGTGTGGGGGTTAGTGGGTGGGGGGGGTTAGTGGGTGGGGGGTTAGTGGGTGGGGGGGGGTTAGTGGGTGGGGGAGGTTAGTGGGTGGGGGAGGTTAGTGGGTGGGGGAGGTTAGTGGGTGGGTGTGGTTAGTGGGTGTGGGGGGTTAGTGGGTGGGGGGGGTTAGTGGGTGGGGGAGGTTAGTGTACATGATGACTAAAACACAAAGACTAGTCTGGGAGCCAGCAGGTCTGTTTGTACTACCATGACAATGTTGGCAAGAGCACAAACAGATCCGGGAATATGCTACAAAGGGACAGCCTCTTTAACAGATCAATACAGACATCAACTGCTGAGTCAGACAAGAGATGACAAACAACAACCACACAGAAACTAAAATCAACAGCCCTGGTTACTATGGTTACTGCATGGGGGTGGTCAGCAGCCCTGGTTACTGCATGGTGGTGGTTTTATTCCAAAAACATGACTCCCCTGTTCTTCTCTCGTTTCTCCCCTCCACTCCTCACAGCTATCCAGTCTGATCAGGAACCATATCATGATCAGGGGCCGTATGGATCAAGCCTCTACTCCTCACAGCTACCCAGTCTGATCAGGAACCATATCAAGCCTCTAGTCCTCACAGCTATCCAGTCTGATCAGGAACCATATCAAGCCTCTACTCCTCACAGCTATCCAGTCTGATCAGGAACCATATCAAGCCTCTACTCCTCACAGCTACCCAGTCTGATCAGGGACCATATGTATCCAGCCTCTACTCCTTACAGCCAGCCAGTCTGATCAGGAGCCATATCAAGCCTCCACTCCTCACAGCTACCCAGACTGATCAGGAACCATATCAAGCCTCTACTCCTCACAGCTACCCAGTCTGATCAGGGACCATATGTATCCAGCCTCTACTCCTTACAGCTACCCAGCCTGATCAGGGACCATATGTATCCAGCCTCTACTCCTTACAGCTACCCAGCCTGATCAGGGACCATATGTATCCAGCCTCTACTCCTCACAGCTACCCAGCCTGATCAGGAACCATATGTATCCAGCCTTTACTCCTCACAGCCAGCCAGTCTGATCAGGAGCCATATCAAGCCTCCACTCCTCACAGCTATCCAGACTGATCAGGGGCCATATCAAGCCTCTACTCCTCACAGCTATCCAGTCTGATCAGGAACCATATCCAGCCTCTACTCCTCACAGCTACCCAGTCTGATCAGGGACCATATGTATCCAGCCTCTACTCCTCACAGCTACCCAGCCTGATCAGGAACCATATGTATCCAGCCTCTACTCCTCACAGCCAGCCAGTCTGATCAGGAGCCATATCAAGCCTCCACTCCTCACAGCTCTCCAGACTGATCAGGAGCCATATCAAGCCTCCACTCCTCACAGCTACCCAGACTGATCAGGAGCCATATCAAGCCTCCACTCCTCACAGCTACCCAGACTGATCAGGAACCATATCAAGCCTCCACTCCTCACAGCCAGCCAGTCTGATCAGGAACCATATCAAGCCTCCACTCCTCACAGCTACCCAGACTGATCAGGAACCATATCAAGCCTCCACTCCTCACAGCCAGCCAGACTGATCAGGAACCATATCAAGCCTCCAGTCCTCACAGCTATCGAGTCTGATCAGGAACCATATCAAGCCTCTACTCCTCACAGCTACCCAGTCCGATCAGGAACCATATCAAGCCTCTAGTCCTCACAGCTACCCAGTCCGATCAGGAACCATATCAAGCCTCTAGTCCTCACAGCTATCCAGTCTGATCAGGAACCATATCAAGCCTCCACTCCTCACAGCTACCCAGTCCGATCAGGAACCATATCAAGCCTCTACTCCTTACAGCTATCCAGTCTGATCAGGGACCATATGTATCCAGCCTCTACTCCTCACAGCTACCCAGTCTGATCAGGGACCATATGTATCCAGCCTCTACTCCTCACAGCTACCCAGTCTGATCAGGAACCATATCAAGCCTCTACTCCTTACAGCTACCCAGTCTGATCAGGAACCATATCCAGCCTCTACTCCTCACAGCTATCCAGTCTGATCAGGGACCATATGTATCCAGCCTCTACTCCTCACAGCTATCCAGTCTGATCAGGGACCATATGTATCCAGCCTCTACTCCTTACAGCTACCCAGTCTGATCAGGGACCATATGTATCCAGCCTCTACTCCTTACAGCTACCCAGTCTGATCAGGGACCATATCAAGCCTCTACTCCTCACAGCTACCCAGCCTGATCAGGGACCATATCAAGCCTCTACTCCTTACAGCTACCCAGTCTGATCAGGGACCATATCAAGCCTCTACTCCTTACAGCTACCCAGTCTGATCAGGGACCATATCAAGCCTCTACTCCTTACAGCTACCCAGTCTGATCAGGGACCATATCAAGCCTCCACTCCTCACAGCTATCCAGTCTGATCAGGAACCACTGGTTACTATGGTTACTACATGGGGCTGATCTAGGATCAGTTTTGCCGTTTTAATCACAATTAATAAGATTCCATGGACAGGGAGGTGGGGGTTGGTCCTATGATCCCTGATCAGCCCTACAGATGGACAGGGAGGTGGGGGTTGGTCCTATGATCCCTGATCAGCCCTACAGATGGACAGGGAGGTGGGGGTTGGTCCTATGATCCCTGATCAGCCCTACAGATGGACAGGGAGGTGGGGGTTGGTCCTATGATCCCTGATCAGCCCTACAGATGGACAGGGAGGTGGGGGTTGGTCCTATGATCCCTGATCAGCCCTACAGATGGACAGGGAGGTGGGGGGTTGGTCCTATGATCCCTGATCAGCCCTACAGATGGACAGGGAGGTGGGGGTTGGTCCTATGATCCCTGATCAGCCCTACAGATGGACAGGGAGGTGGGGGTTGGTCCTATGATCCCTGATCAGCCCTACAGATGGACAGGGAGGTGGGGGTTGGTCCTATGATCCCTGATCAGCCCTACAGATGGACAGGGAGGTGGGGGTTGGTCCTATGATCCCTGATCAGCCCTACAGATGGACAGGGAGGTGGGGGTTGGTCCTATGATCCCTGATCACCCCTACAGATGGACAGGGAGGTGGGGGTTGGTCCTATGATCCCTGATCAGCCCTACAGATGGACAGGGAGGTGGGGGTTGGTCCTATGATCCCTGATCAGCCCTACAGATGACAGGGAGGTGGGGTTTGGTCCTATGATCCCTGATCCCCCTACAGATGGACAGGGAGGTGGGGGTTGGTCCTATGATCCCTGATCAGCCCTACAGATGGACAGGGAGGTGGGGGTTGGTCCTATATCCCTGATCACCCTACAGATGGACAGGGAGGTGGGGGTTGTGCCTATGATCCCTGATCAGCCCTACAGATGGACAGGGAGGTGGGGTTGGTCCTATGATCCCTGATCAGCCCTACAATGGACAGGGAGGTGGGGGTTGGTCCTATGATCCTGATCAGCCCTACAGATGGACAGGAGGTGGGGGTTGGTCCTATGATCCCTGATCAGCCCTACAGATGGACAGGAGGGTGGGGGTTGGTCCTATGATCCCTGATCAGCCCTACAGATGGACAGGGAGGTGGGGGGGTTGGTCCTATGATCCCTGATCAGCCCTACAGATGGACAGGGAGGTGGGGGTTGGTCCTATGATCCCTGATCAGCCCTACAGATGGACAGGGAGGTGGGGGTTGGTCCTATGATCCCTGATCAGCCCTACAGATGGACAGGGAGGTGGGGGGTTGGTCCTATGATCCCTGATCAGCCCTACAGATGGACAGGGAGGTGGGGGGTTGGTCCTATGATCCCTGATCAGCCCTACAGATGAACAGGGAGGTGGGGGTTGGTCCTATGATCCCTGATCAGCCCTACAGATGGACAGGGAGGTGGGGGTTGGTCCTATGATCCCTGATCAGCCCTACAGATGGACAGGGAGGTGGGGGTTGGTCCTATGATCCCTGATCAGCCCTACAGATGGACAGGGAGGTGGGGGTTGGTCCTATGATCCCTGATCAGCCCTACAGATGGACAGGGAGTGGGGGTTGGTCCTATGATCCCTGATCAGCCCTACAGATGGACAGGGAGGTCGGGGTTGGTCCTATGATCCCTGATCAGCCCTACAGATGGACAGGGAGGTGGGGGTTGGTCCTATGATCCTAGATCAGCCCTACAGATGGACAGGGATGTGGGGGTTGGTCCTATGATCCCTGATCAGCCCTACAGATGGACAGGGAGGTGGGGATTGGTCCTATGATCCCTGATCAGCCCTACAGATGGACAGGGAGGTGGGGGTTGGTCCTATGATCCTAGATCAGCCCTACTACTCTGAGATGCTTGATAAATACGGTCCCAGACACAACCTTTCTGGAATGAGAAGTATCCCAACCTGTGTGTTTAATCAATCAGTTACGAAACCCCCCCGATGGTTGCTACATTCTGAGTGACTGCTCTCTAGACAATCAGTGACTAACTCTGAGGATGAGTCCCAAATGGCACCCTATTCCCTATATAGTGCACTACTTTAGACCAGGGCCCTACTGGGTCTGGTCAAAAGTAGTGCACTATATAGGGTGCCATTTGGGACTAATAGGGTTTGTCATCAGGTATGGTCATATATATATATATAGACGCTCCGAGGCCGGGGGAACAGTATTCTAGACGGACCACCACACAGAGAGACATGAAGCTGCTACATATCCTCTGCTTCTGCCTGGCTGTTCTCGCCTCCACTTGGGTACGATAACATATTTATTCATTATTTATCATTGTAATTTAATAGGTGTAATAATACTTTATTTAATAATAACAATAATAATAGATTGGATTTCTTTAGCACTTTTTCCAGATGACATATTTATTCATTTACATTACATTTTCTGATTTATTTGTCAGATGCCTTTTTGGAAATATGTTTTTTTTTAAATATACAGCGCCTTCAGAAAGTATTCATACCCCTTGACTTATTCCACATTGTGTTGCGTTACAGCCTGAATTCAAAATGGATTCAATAGATTTGTTTCTCTCACCCATCTACACAGTACCCCGTAATGACAATAGTGAAAACACGTTTTTAGAAATCTTTGCACATTTATTGAAAATGAAATACAGAAATATCTCATTTACATAAGTATTCACACCCCTGAGCCAATACTTTGTAGAAGCACCTTTGGCAGCTTTCTGGGTAAGTTTATGTGATCCTCTATAGCTCAATTGGTACAGCACGGCGCTTGTAACGCCAGGGTAGTGGGTTCGATCCCCGGGACCACCCATACGTAAAAAATTTATGCACACATGACTGTAAGTCGCTTTGGATAAAAGCGTCTGCTAAATGGCATATTATTATTATTATTATTATTATTATTATTATTATTATTATTATTCTTTCTAAGAGCTTTCCACACCTGGATTGTGCAATATTTGCCCATTATTCTTTAGTATTAGGATTTTGCCTGTGCTTAGCTCCATTCCATTTATTTTTTATCCTGATAAACAGTCCTTAAAGATGACAAGCATACCCATAACATGATGCAGCCACCACTATGCTTGAAAATATAGAGAGTGGTACTCAGTAATGTGTTATATTGGATTTGCCCCAAACATAACACTTTGTATTCAGGACAAAATGTGAATTGATTTGCCACATTTCTTGCAGTATTACTTTAGTGCCTTGTTGCAAAAAGGATGCATGTTTGTAGAATACTTGTATTCTGTACAGGCTTCCTTCTTTTCACTCTGTCATTTAGGTTAGTATTGTGGAGTAACTACAATGTTGTTGATCCATCCTCAGTTTTCTCCTATCACAGCCATTCAACTCTGTAACTGTTTTAAAGTCACCATTGGCCTCATGGTGAAATCCCTGAGCGGTTTCCTTCGTCTCCAGCAACTGAGTTAGGAAGGACACCTGTATCTTTGTAGTGACTGGGTGTGTTGATACACCAAACCAAGTGTAATTAATAACTTCACCATGGTCAAAGGGATATTCAATGTCTGCTTTTTAATTTTTACCCAACTACCAATAGGTGCCCTTCTTTGTGAGACATTGGAAAACCTCACTGCTCGACTGAGGGATCTTACAAATAATTGTATGTGTGGGGTACAGAATGAGGTAGTCATTCAAAAATCATGTTAAACACTATTATTGCACACAGAGTGATTCCATGCAACTTATTATGTGACTTGTTAAGAAAGATTTTACGTATTTAGGCTTGCCATAACAAAGGGGTTTAATACTTATTGACTCAAGAAACTAAAGCTTTTCATTTTTAATACATTTGTAAAAATTTCAAAAACCATAATTCCACTTTGACATTATGGGGTATTGTGTGTAGGCCAGTGACCAGTTGGACAAGGTAGGGGTGGTATACAGAAGATAGCCCTATTTGGTAAAAGACCAAGTCCATATTATGGCAAGAACACCTCAAATAAGCAAAGAGAAATGACAGTCCATCATTTTTATTTTTTATTTTTTACCCACTATCTACATTTTATGGACACAGTCAATTTTACAATAATTACATTTTGTTTGTTCTTTCTCCTGAACTTCTTCTACTCTCAACCTCTCCGATCATTTTCATGATGTCCATCCGGTTTGCTTCTATATGCCATATCTTTCTAACTGTGCTCCTTCACAAAAGCTCCCAACCTATAACCCATACACTTATTATGGACACAGCGTGCCTACATTATTAGTTATCTTGTTGTTATTAGTTGTTGTTAGTTGTTATTAGTCCCATCCTTCAGCTCCATTCAACACCTCCCATCTATCTTTTAACACCATCCATATAGGATTTCTATTTGCCATATATATTTCAACTGTACTGTGATGTCTTACAAAAGTTCTGAACCTTTCTATTCTCATTGTTTCTACAGATTGTGAATTAAAAATAAACATTTTTGCTAATAGTATTATTATGTTATTGATCGATTGACTATGACTTTTCAGATCACCCAGTAGTGCTATCTGCAGGGTTAGCTCCAGGTAAATATTGCAATCCTTTAGCCATTCCTGGACCTGTGTCCAAAAACAAGCTACAAATGGACAGTACCAAAACAAATGATCTCATGATTCTGTCTCTTCACAGCAAAATCTGCTGGGAAGATTGTATCCCCCATATAAATAACATTCTATTGGTACCAAGAATTTTATATAATAATTTAAATTGAAAGATTCTAAGTTTTGAATCCGGTGTCGTTTTGCGTATCAGTTCATATCAGTATACTTTTTTATTTATCACAGTTTTCTTTAACCAATTATGTTCTTTAATGCAGGGCCGACAGACAAGTTCCTTACTTTCTCCCCCTTCCACTTTCCTCTTCCATTTTTGCGGTAATGCTGCAATTATTTGGTTGTAATTTTGGGTAGAGCAGACATTTCCATATGTTTTTGTTAGCTGCATGTGCGACATAACTCCACCAGTCCTACCGATGATATCATTTACGAAGATTATACCTTTTTTTAAAATTTTGTCAAAAAATAAAGTTTTTTTGTCAATTAGTATATTTGAATTTAACCACAATATTTGTTGCATTATTTGTTCTGTCGTTTCTGGAGGATTAAATTGAAATTGCAACCAACTTTCTATGGCTTGTTTTAGAAATAGTGGTATCTGGGAGATGATTTCCTTTTCATATAACTGACAGTGAGAGGTTGTAATCTGAATAAAGGGAAAAAGGGCCATTCTTGAACATGGGGTGAGACAATCTTACTAATTTGCTAGAGAACCAGTTCAAATTTAAGTATAACTTTTGTATGACTGAAGCTTTTGGTGATAGGTCTAATGCTTTAATATTTAATAATTTCTGTCCTCCGAATTCATATTCATTATATAAATAGGCCCGTTTAATTTTGTCTGGCTTGCCGTTCCAAATAAAATTGAATATTTTTTTCTCATATCATTTAAAAAACTGTTCGCTAGGCATAGGCAAGACCATAAGCAAATAGGTAAACTGGGATAATACTAAAGAGTTAATCAGGGTGATTTTTCCACAAATTGACAGGCACCCACCTTTCCATGGTAGCAAGATCTTATCTATTTTTGCTAACTTTCTATTATAATTTATTGAAGTGTGTCACGCCCTGACTTATGGGACTCTAGTATGTTGAGTCATGGTGTGGAGTTCTATGTTGTATTTTCTATGTTCTCATTCTAGGTTGGGTGTTTCTATGTTTGGCCGGGTGTGATTCCCAATCAGAGGCAGCTGTCGCTCGTTGTCTCTGATTGGGGATCATACTTAAGTAGCCTGTTGGCACTCATTAGTTGTGGGATCTTGTTCCGTGTAGAGGCTTGTGTTTAGCCTGAGGACTTCACGTTACGTTGTTTTGTTGTTTTGTTAGTGTGTTTATCTTTATAATAAACATGTATGCATTTCATGCTGCGCCTTGGTCTGACCCGTCCTTCAACGAGCGTGACAGAAGATCCCACCAAACACGGACCAAGCAGCGTGCCCAGGAGCAGCAGACACCCTGGACACAGGTAGTGGAGCAGAGATCATGGACTTGGGGGGAGATAAGAGAGGATCTGGCCAATTAGATGGAAGGGATGAGGGTGGAGAAGGAGAGAGTAGCCGATAGCAGACCCTGGGCAAAGGAGGAAGCCCAGGCAGGAGAGAAGAAACGGCGACCCAAGAGGACGCGGTCACTACGAAAGCCCGAGAAGCAGCCCCAAGAAAAGAAAAAATTGGGGGGCTCACGGGTGGTTGGCGGAGCCTGGGTTCAGAGACGCTAAGAAGCGTGTGACCGTGCAGGCTCCATGTTATGCGGAGCTACGCACTGTGTCGCCAGTGTGCCAGCACAGTCCAGTGCGTCCTGTGCTAGCGCCACGAACGTGCCGTGCGAATATGGGCATCCAACCAGGACGGGTTGTGCCAGCTCTCCGCTCCAGACCTCCAGTCCGCCTCCAAAGTCCGGTAAGCACCGTACCTGCTCCCCGCACCAAGCCAGTGGTGCGTGTCACCAGTCCGGCCCGGCCCGTTCCTGCTCCTCGCACCAGACCAGTGGTGCGTGTGTCCAGTCCGGCACGGCCCGTGCCCGTTCCACCGATGCCTGATCCAGCTCTGGTCAGCTGCTCCACTCCGGAGCCAGAGCAGTCCGTTCCAGCGGGGTTCAGTCCAGCTCCGGTCAGCTGCTCCACTCCAGAGCTAGAGCAGTCCGCTCCACCGGTGCCCAGTAAAGCTCCGGTCAGCGGCTCCACTCCGGAGCCAGAGTAGTCCGCTCCACCGGTGTCTAGTCCATCTCCGGTCAGCGGATCCACTCCGGAACCAGAGCAGTCCGCTCCACCGGGGTTCAGTCCAGCTCCGGTCAGCAGCTCCACTCCGGAGCCAGAGCAGTCCGCTCCACCGGTGCACAGTCCAGCTCCGGTCAGTAGCTTCACTCCGGAGCCAGAGCAGTCCGCTCCACCGGTGCCCAGTCCAGCTCCGGTCAGCGGCTCCACTCCGGAACCAGAGTAGTCCGCTCCACCGGGGTTTAGTCCAGCTCCGGTCAGCAGCTTCACTCCGGAGCCAGAGCAGTCCGCTCCACCGGTGCCCAATCCAGCTCCGGTCAGCGGCTCCAGTCCAGGCCCAGACGTCAGCCCTTCTCCAGGTTCGAGGTCTCCCACACCAGGGTCCAGACAGGGCTTGGTGTATCGTGGGAGGAAGGAGAGGGGAAGCAGCGCGCCGAGGACCAGACCAGACCAGGGGCGCAACGGGGAGGCGGAGAGAATGTGGTCGTCACGCAGGGGGCGGATCCGCCTCCGAGGCGGAATGCCCACCCGGACCCTACCCTGTTATGTCAGGTTTGTGCGGTCGGAGTCCGCACCTTTGGGGGGGGGGTACTGTCACGCCCTGATTTAAGGGACTCTAGTATGTTGAGTCAGGGTGTGGAGATCTATTTTAGTATTTCTATGTTTGCATTCTATGTTGGGTGTTTCTATGTTTGGCTGGGTGCAAGTAGCCTGTTGGCAATCAGTTGTTGTGGGATCTTGTTTCGTGTAGAGGCTTGTTTTGTGTTTAGCCTGAGGACTTCACGTTACGTTGTTTTGTTGTTTTTGTTCGTGTGTTTATTCTTTATAATAAACATGTATGCATTTCACGCTGCGCCTTGGTCTGACCCGTCCTTCAACGAACGTGACAAAGTGAGATCATTTATTTCCTTTGGGATATGTATTCCGAGTATATCCACATCATCATCAGACCATTTTATTGGTAAACTACATGGCAATGTACATTTTTTATTTTTTATTGATCCAATACGTAATATAGTACATTTGTCATAATTTGGTTGTAATCCAGAGAGGTTAGAACATGTATCTAGATCCTCTATGAGGCTGTGGAGTGATTCTAGTTGTGGATTTAAAAGAAAACATGAATCATCAGCGTACAATGACACCTTTGTTTTTAAGCCCTGGATTTCTAATCCCCTGATTTTATTGTTAGCTATTAAAATCAGATCCAACATCTCGATGGCCACAATAAATAGATATGCCGATAGTGGACAACCTTGTTTCACTCCTCTTGACAGTTTAAAACTTTCTGAGAAATAGCCATTATTTACTATTTTACACCTAGGGTTACTATATATGATTTTGACCCATTTTATAATAGATTCTCCAAAATTGAAATGCTCCAGGCATTTATATATAAACCCAAGTCGTACTTTATCAAATGCCTTTTCGAAGTCTGCTATGAATAGCAGGCCTGGTTTCTCTGATTTTCCATAATGTTCTATTGTTTCCAATACTTGCCTTATATTATCTCCAATGTACAGTGGGGGAAAAAGTATTTAGTCAGCCACCAATTGTGCAAGTTCTCCCACTTAAAAAGATGAGAGAGGCCTGTAATTTTCATCATAGGTACACGTCAACTATGACAGACAAATTGAGAAAAAAAATCCAGAAAATCACATTGTAGGATTTTTTATGAATTTATTTGCAAATTATGGTGGAAAATAAGTATTTGGTCACCTACAAACAAGCAATATTTCTGGCTCTCACAGACCTGTAACTTCTTCTTTAAGAGGCTCCTCTGTCCTCCACTCGTTACCTGTATTAATGGCACCTGTTTGAAATTGTTATCAGTATAAAAGACACCTATCCACAACCTCAAACAGTCACACTCCAAACTCCACTATGGCCAAGACCAAAGAGCTGTCAAAGGACACCAGAAACAAAATTGTAGACCTGCACCAGGCTGGGAAGACTGAATCTGCAATAAGTAAGCAGCTTGGTTTGAAGAAATCAACTGTGGGAGCAATTATTAGGAAATGGAAGACATACAAGACCACTGATAATCTCCCTCGATCTGGGGCTCCACGCAAGATCTCACCCCACAAGAACGGTGAGCAAAAATCCCAGAACCACACGGGGGGACCTAGTGAATGACCTGCAGAGAGCTGGGACCAAAGTAACAAAGCCTACCATAAGTAACACACTACGCCGCCAGGGACTCAAATCCTGCAGTGCCAGACGTGTCCCCCTGCTTAAGCCAGTACATGTCCAGGCCCGTCTGAAGTTTGCTAGAGTGCATTTGGATGATCCAGAAGAGGATTGGGAGAATGTCATATGGTCAGATGAAACCAAAATATAACTTTTTGGTAAAAACTCAACTCGTCGTGTTTGGAGGACAAAGAATGCTGAGTTGCATCCAAAGAACACCATACCTACTGTGAAGCATGGGGGTGGAAACATCATGCTTTGGGGCTGTTTTTCTGCAAAGGGACCAGGACGACTGATCCGTGTAAAGGAAAGAATGAATAGGGCCATGTATCGTGAGATTTTGAGTGAAAACCTCCTTCCATCAGCAAGGGCATTGAAGATGAAACGTGGCTGGGTCTTTCAGCATGACAATGATCCCAAACACACCGCCCGGGCAACGAAGGAGTGGCTTCGTAAGAAGCATTTCAAGGTCCTGGAGTGGCCTAGCCAGTCTCCAGATCTCAACCCCATAGAAAATCTTTGGAGGGAGTTGAAAGTCTGTGTTGCCCAGCGACAGCCCCAAAACATCACTGCTCTAGAGGAGATCTGCATGGAGGAATGGGCCAAAATACCAGCAACAGTGTGTGAAAACCTTGTGAAGACTTACAGAAAACGTTTGACCTGTGTCATTGCCAACAAAGGGTATATAACAAAGTATTGAGAAACTTTTGTTATTGACCAAATACTTATTTTCAACCATAATTTGCAAATAAATTCATTAAAAATCCTACAATGTGATTTTCTGGAAAAAAAATATATCATTTTGTCTGTCATAGTTGACGTGTACCTATGATGAAAATTACAGGCCTCTCTCATCTTTTTAAGTGGGAGAACTTGCACAATTGGTGGCTGACTTTTTTTCCCCACTGTATTATCCTAGCAAATAATTACTGCGGTACATCCCCCCCCCCCCCCCCCCCCCCCCCCCCACTGTGTTCTTGGGGACCTTCAATGCTGCAGAAATGTTGTGGTACCCTTCCCCAGATCTGTACCTCGACACAATCCTGTCTCAGAGTTCTACAGACAATTCCTTCAACCTCATGGCTTGGTTTTTGCTCTGACATGCACTGTCAACTGTGGGACCTTATATAGACAGGTGTGTGCCTTTCCAAATCATGTCCAATCAATTGGATTGACCACAGGTGGACTCCAATCAAATTGTAGAAACATCTCACGGATGATCAATGGAAACAGGATGCACCTGAGCTCAATTTCGAGTCTCATAGCGAAGGGTCTGAATACTTATGTAAATAATGTATTTCTGTTTTTGAATGTGTAAACATTTGTAAAAACCTGTTTTTGTTTTGTCATTATGGGGTATGTGTGTAAATTGCTGAGGAATATATTTAATCCATTTTAGAATAAGGCTGTAACGTAACAAAATGTGAAAAAAGTCAAGGAGTCTGAATACTGTACATCGTACAGTACTATATATAATATGTGTTTAAATTAAAGCTTTGTCTTATCCTCTGGGTTCATCTAGTTGATATGTAGTTGATAATATTTTATATAATGTATTCCATGTGAAATGTTGAGTATAAGTGGTTTCTGGGGCATGTAGATATGGACTAGGAGGCTTTAAGCACAAGTTGAACTATACAGTGACAAAGATTATGAGTTCAGTATTTTTTATCTTAAATATGTTAACATACATTTGTTGTTGTTTTATTCTTATTGCTTTAAATCTCTCTCTCTCTCTCTCTCTCTCTGTCTCTCTCTCTCTCTCTCTCTCTCTCTCTCTCTCCTCACCCATCTCTCTCTCACTCTCTCTCAGGCTGAGGACATAGCGACCATATTGAACCCTCGTGGAGCCAGGCCAGTAGAACATGGCTACAAGGCTGATAAATGTGCCACAGAGAAGAACTGGCCTTTCTGCTCAGATGATGACTGGGTAAATCACTGTTTCTCTTCACTTATAGGATGACTTTCAAATAGAAAGACACTTTTAGATATATACAAACCTTCTGTCTATGTCCTGTACTATAACTCCTCCCCTCTTCTCCCCTCCCCTCATCTCATCTTCTCTCCTCTTCTTCCTCCTCCTACTCCCCAGGGTCCTAAGTGCCCGTCAGGCTGTCGTATCCAGGGTCTGTTAGACAAGGCAGACCATTCCCTGCTGAAGAAGATAGTGAAGATTAGGCAGCTCCTAGACCAGAGCAGAGCCAAACACCGCTCTGCCGACCAGGCTTCCAAACAGACCTATGACTACCTCAAGGAGAAACTCACCTCCAATGCAGGTGAGATGGGATCATAGTGATTGATTGATTGATTGATTGATTGATTGATTGATTGATTGATTGATTGATTGATTGATTGATTGGAGGGGTGAACGGTCAGCTATTCTTTTTTTTTGTATGTCTTGTTTTGGTTCTCTCTCAAAGGCTGACATTCTCTTTTTTTAACTTTTTCTCTCTCTCTCCCCTCTCTCTCATCCTCTTCTCACTCTCCCTTTCTCTTCTCCTCCTCCCTTCTTTCTTCTCTCTCTCTCTCTCTCTCTCTCTCTCTCTCTCCTTTCTACACCTGCAATCTAAGGTCTCCCTTTTTCTCTATCTCTTCTTTCTATCTCATTCTATCTAATCATCTCTTTCTTCTCTTTCTCTCTCTACCTATCTATTGAGGGCTCGTCTCTCTCTCTCCTCTTCTACTCGATCTCTAGCTCGCTCTCTCTATCTATCTATCTCTCTCTCTCTCTCTCCTCTCTCCGTCTAGCTCCTCTTCCCTCTGCTCTCTAGCTCTCTCTCCTCTCTATCTCGCCCCTATCTCATCTCTCTCCATCCTTCTCTATCTCTCTCTCCTCTTCTACTCTCTCGTCCTCTATCCTTCTCTTCCTCTCTCTCTTCTCTCTACTCTCCTCTCTCTCTCATCTCTCTATCATCCCTATCTCTCCCCTCTCTCTCCGTATCCTCTCCTCTCTCTCCTCTCTCTCTCTTCTCTCTCTCACTCTCTCTCTCTCATCTCTTTCTATCAATGTATCTCCCTCTCTGCATAGATGCTAACCATTCCTCCCCTCTGTCCCAGGTAATGACAACAGCTTCTATGACCTGGCAGAGCGTCTCCGTCAGAGGATCGTTGACATCAAGATTAAGATAGACCGCCAGCTGAGGATCCTCAACGCTCTGAAGACCAGCATCAAAGAACAGGTTATAGACATGCAGAGACTGGAGGTGAGATTAAGATTTCAGATTGATGATGATGATGATGGTGATGAAGACCAGGGTCAGAGACCAGCTTCTAGAGTTATATGAAGACATGGTGATAGGAGGAAGAGTGCTGAAAAACACTTTTTTATTGACCTCCTTTCTCCCCCCCACCTCCCCCCCCCCCCTTCTCATCTCCCCCCCCCCCCCCCCCCCCCCCCCCCCCCTTCTCATCTCCTCCCCCCCACCATCTCCTTCCTCCAGGTGGACATTGACATCAAGCTGCGCTCCTGTAAGGGATCTTGTAAGGGCTATGCTGAGTTCTCCATTGAGAAAGAATCCTACATGGCCCTGGACAAGCAGATGGACCAGCTGGAAGCCCAGAGCGTTCAGTCTGTCGAGACCATCGGCTCGCTGCACGTCATGAAGAGCCGCCCGCTTAAAGACGTCGTGGTCGACAGGTGAGGAGGAGGAGAAGGAGGAAGATGCTGCTTTCTTTTTCTTCTCCCCCCCAACTCTCCTCCCCCCTCCCTTCTCCCCCTTCCATCTCCTCCCCCCTCCCTTCTCCCCCTCCGTCTCCTCCCCCCTCCCTTCTCCCCCCTCCATCTCCTCCCCCCTCCCTTCTAATCTCCTCTTCTCCTCCCCCCTCCCTTCTCCCCCTCCATCTCCTCCCCCCTCCCTTCTCCCCCTCCATCTCCTCCCCCCTCCCTTCTAATCTCCTCTTCTCCTCCCCCCGTACCCTTCTCTCCACCCCCCCCTCTCAGCAAGTACAAGTCCGGCCTGGCTGAGGAGCAGAAGCAGGATTTCTTCCCGGAGGTCCGGACCGTGAAGCTGACCTTGGAGAACCAGGGGCCCAGCGCGTCGTCTGCCGCCACTGCCAGCAAGGTCCCGGGTACGCACTTCAAGCCTTCGACTTCAGGGTCTTCATCGTCATCGGGTTTGTCGACAGGATCGGGGTCGGGGACGAAGGACGGGCAGAGGAAAACGATCACGGAGCTGGGTGGTGGTGGGGAGACGAGGGGGGATGGAGTCGGGGACTTCTTTAAGGGGATGGGTGGATTCGGCGGTGGGGTGGGAAATCTTGGAGGCGGAGATTTCGCCACTACTGGTCACCAGACCACTCAGACGTCGAGCTGTACCAAGACAATGACGAAGACGATAGTATATACGATGGACGGGCCAGTGGAGCGCATCGAGGAAGTATCGAGCGGACCCGGCTGTGAGGCGCTGAAGCTCGGTGGCGGAGGAGGAGGGACAGGCGGCTTCTTCCCATCCCTCACCTCCACCTCTTCCTCATCCTCCTCTTCCTCCTCGTTCACCAAAACCACGAGCCGTGACGGCACCAAGGGAGGCAGTAGCATCCTGACCAGCACCAAGACCGGCGGCACTGGCGGCAGTTTCGGAGGTGATCCATTCGGAATGGATCTCGGAGCATTCCTGCGTGGGAACGAGGAAGACGACGTCCCGGATTTCCACGCCCGCAGTGTGAAGACTAGCGTCCGGAGTGAGCGGCAGGCGGATTATGTGGGAAAAGGTACATCTGACCTGGAGTAACCGCCCAGCAGTTGACCTAGCTAGCCGCTGTTAGCCGCTGTTAGCATCTTAGCCTAGTAGCAATTAGCATGTTAGCCTCCATTAGCACCTTAGCCAAGCTGCCATTAGCAATTAGCACCTTACACTAGCAGCCGTTAGAGGTTAGCGTTTTAGCCAGCAGCTTTTAGCTTCTTAGCTAGCAGTCAGAAGTGAAACATTGCTATTTTTGTCATAGCTCAAAGCAAAGACTAGATTGTAAAATTAACTTTCAGAATCTGATGAAACAGTAGCCTAATTAACAAAGATTTGTAAGGTAGTTCAGCCATTGCTCATATGATGTGTTTGTGGCCCAATTTTTTTTTACAAATTGTATAAAACTTTCCAGAGATACTGTATAAGCTACGCTGTACTATACATATTACTGTATGCTCATGAAATATTCAATGGATAACAAACAGAAGTGTAATCATGTAGTTCTATTGGGGAGAACACAAGGGCTGTAGTAAGTTATATTCACTGAAAAGGACAATACTAAATTCACTACTGAATTCCGGTCTCTCCATTCTTCCTGGATCCTCCTAATCCGTGGCCTCTCCATCTGCTTTCAGATTGCTCTGACATCCAACGGAACCATCTCACAGGGGAAAAGAGCGGCCTGTACAAAATTAACCTCTCTCCCCCATCTCCGAACGGGGCAGTGGAGGTTTACTGCGACCAGGAAGGGCTCCTAGGAGGTTGGACCCTGGTCCAACAGAGAACGCATGGGGAGGTTAGCTTCAACCGGTCCTGGGCAGACTACCAGAAGGGGTTCGGAAGGGTGGACGGCCAGGGTAAAGGGGAGGTATGGCTGGGGTTAAAACACCTCCATCTTCTGACCCGGGAGGAGAGCATGTTGAGGGTGGAACTAGAAGACTGGGAGGGAGGGGTGGCGACCGCCGAGTACACAGTGAAAGTGGGGTCCGAGGCTGACGCGTATCAGTTGACTGTGGCGGAGTATACGGGTGACGCGGGGGACGCCTTAGTCAAGGGGGAGTCCAGTTTGGGGAGTCAAGGGTCGCCCGGTGTGGGGTTGGGGTCGTTCCTCTCCCACCAGGGGATGAAGTTTAGTACCTTCGATAAGGATAATGACCGATGGGAGGAGAGCTGTGCGGAGATGTACGGTGGTGGCTGGTGGTATAATAACTGTCAGAGTGCAAACTTAAACGGAGTGTACTACAAAGGGGGGAAGTATGATCCTGGTAGAAACGTTCCATATGAGATAGAAAATGGAGTAGTGTGGTTGACATACAAACCAGCTGACTATAGTCTGAAGACCACCCGAATGAAGATACGACCACTCGCTATGGTCTGAGAGAGGGAGGGAAGGGGAGGATAAGGGGGGGGAAGGGGAAGTATGGGGGTTTTGAATAGGGGGGGGTGGGGGGGGAGAAGGGAAGGGGGGGAAGGGGGGGAAGGGGAGAGAGGGGGGGGGAAAAACCCCCCCCGGGGGGGGGGGGGGGGGGGGGGGGGGGGGGGGTTGGGGGGGGGGGGGGGGGGGGGGGGGGGGGGGGGCGGGGGGGGGGGGGGGCGGGGGGGGGGCGGGGGGGGGGGGGGGGGCCCAAAAAGGGGGGGGGGGGGACAGGGGGGGGGGAGGGGAGGGAAAAAAAAAAAGGGGGGCTAGGGGGGGGGGGAGGGGAGCGCGGAGGGGAAAAGGGGGGGGGGGAGGAAGCTAAAAAAAAAACGATTTTGGACGTTTTTTTTGTGAGTAAAAATTAAATGTATTTTGTTTTTTTTACCTGGAAATTTTGTCAAAGTATGAAATTTAAAGTAAAAAAAACAACCAGGTAACCTTGAACCAACCATACGCTAGTGTTCAAAAAACGTTCTAAAACAGAAGGGGTTTTTTTAAAAACCCCGTAAACATTTTTTAGAACGTCTAAACCCTCCTGCCAAAAAAAATAAGGTGTTCACTTCAAGTTTGGGGGTTTGGGTTTTTAGTTTTTTTAAATGTTTTATTTTTGTTTTAGATTTTCTTTATTCGTGTGTGGGTTTTTGTTTGTTCAAACTATACGAGAGTATTTAAAAGTTGGGAGGTAACATGTCTCTTTTTTAGGGAAACGGAAATCAAACAGCTTAATAACAATCCCCGGGCACAGACGTAGTTCAAGTCTATTTGATTTAATTTGGGTTTAGTTGTCAACTAAGTGAATTTCCCTGAAAAACAACCAATGTTCCCCCTGTATGCCCCCATCATTGAAATATTACACATTGGGAATAAATTAATTAAAAAGAGAAAATTTAAAAAGTGAACATTTAGTTAGGCCTATTTGGGGAAATCCCAACGTCCCGGGGGACATTTTGAATTGTCTCCCTTGAATCAATGCAGATAAGTGAGAATTTGGCTTATCGGAGGGGTTCAAAAACTTGGTTTTTTCATTTAGAATTAGGACCCATCTTTGGGACCAAAAAAGATAATGATTGGGGAATGGGGGGAGTGGGGGGAAAGGGGGGGGGAAATGGGGAGATTGGGGTAAGGGAGCGTTTTTTTTCCCTTTAAATCATCCCTCAAAGGGGGAAATTTTTATTTTCTAACATGATATTACATATTATATTCCAGGTGGTGTGTATCCCCGGAAAAAATCGAATCAATGTTATATACAGTTTTTATAAAATGTTTTTCCCAAAAAAAAGTTGGGTTTTTGGGACAATACCTCGGGGGTGGGGTAAATAAAAACTGGGGAAAGGGGAAAAAGCTGTGGGGCAGGGGAAATTTAGTGGGGCAGGGTAAGTTTAGGAGGGCAGGGGAAATTGAGTGGGGGACAGGGGAAGTTGAGGTGGGCCCGGGGGTTTAGCTTGGGACGGGTAAGTTTAGTGTGGGGGCAGGGAAGTTGAGGAGGGGGCAGGGGAATTTTAGCGGGGACAGGGTAAGTTTTAGCAGGGGCAGGGAAATTGAGTTGGGACGGGTAATTGAGCTGTGGGACGGGTAATTGGGTGTGGACGGGGAAATTGGTGAGGGACGGGAAGTTTAGCTTGGGGGCGGGTAAATGATGTGGGAAAGGGTAAGTTGAGTGTGGGCAGGGGAAATTTACTGGGCCGGGGAATTGGCTGTGGACGGGGAAATTTAGTGAGGGACAGGGGAAGTTAAGTGTGGGACAGGGGTAAGTTTGGGAGGGACAGGATAGGGTTTAGCGGGGACGGGTAAAATTTAAATGTGGGAAAAAAGGGTAAATTTAGCTGGGGACAGGGTAAGTTTAGTGGGGGCGGGTAAGTTAGTGAGGACAGGGTAAGTTGAGCTGTGGGGCAGGGAAAATTGAGTGTGGAAGGGTAATTTTAGCTGTGGGGGCAGGATGTTGAGTGAGGGGGAGGGAGTTGAGCTGGGGAAAGGGTTAGTTGAGATGTGGGACGGGGAGTTGAGGAGGGACGGGTAAATTGACTGTGGACAGGGGTAAATTTTGCTGAGGGGCAGGTTTAAGTGGTTGTGGGAAGGGTAAATTGAGGTGGGGCAGGGTAAATTAACTGTGGGACGGTAAGTTGAGGTGGGACAGGGGAAGTTTATGTGGGGCAGGGGAGTTGAGCTGAGGGACGGGGAAGTTGACTTGGGACGGGTAAGTTGAGCTGTGGGGGCGGTAAATTTTAAACCGTGGGGAAAGGGGAGTTAAGTGTGGGACAGGTGTGAGCTGTGGGCAGGAAGTTGAGCTGTGGGGGGGGTAGTTGGCTGAGGGGCGGGGAAATTGAGCTGTGGGGGCGGATAAGTTGACTGGAAGGGGAATTGAGCTGTGGGACAGGGGGAGTTTAAACTGTGGGACGGAAAATTTAGTGTGGGCCGGGTAAGTTGGCTGTGGGGCAATAAGTTTTAGCTGTGGGACGGGGAAGTTTTAGTGTGGGGCAGGGTAAAAATTTAAAGGGGGGACAGGGGTAATTGAGCTGTGGGACAGGGGAAGTTGATGTGGGACAGGGAAGGGACTGGGGGACAGGGTAAATTGAGTGTGGGGGGGTAAGTTGAGCGGGGGACAGGGTAAGTTGCTGTGGGACAGGGTAAGTTGAGTGTGGGCCCCGGGAATTAAACTGGGGAAGGGTATTTAAACTGTGGGGGCAGGGGAAATTTTAAGTGGGCGGGTTTAATTAAGCTGTGGACAGGGAAATTTGTTGGGGGGGGTAAGTTGAGCGAGGACAGGGTAAGTTGGTGTGGGACAGGGTAAGTTAGTGGGGGGCAGGTAAGTTTAGCTGTGGACGGGAAGTTAAGCCCTGGGGCAGGGTAAGTTAAAAGGGGGGACGGGTAAGTTTAGCTTTGGGGCAGGGAATTAAGCGTGGGACGGAAAAGTTGGCTGTGGGACAGGGTAAGTTTAGCTGTGGGACAGGATAAGTTGAGTTTGGGGGCGGTAGTTGAAGGGGGGACAGGGTAAGTGTGTGGACGGGAAGTTGGCTGTGGGCCCGGGTAAATTGGCTGGGGGGGGAAGTTGAGCGGGGACGGGTAGTTTAGTTGGGACAGGGTAAGTTTGGGTGTGGGAAGGGTAAGTTGGCGTGGGACAGGGTAAGTTGAGCTGGGGAAGGGTAAGTTGAGTGTGGGAAGGGGAGTTAAGGTTACAAATGTGCTTGAAAGAAATATTACCCCTCCTTTAAAACCAGAACTCTTTCCCAAACACAATCACAATCCCTTTTTACATGACTTTTTTTTTGATTTACGTCATTTAGAAAGACGCTCTTATCCAGAGCGACTTACAATAGGTGCATTCACTTATAGCCATGGAAACCCTTTACAATGGGGGGGGGGGGTAGAATGATTACTTTATCCTTCCCAGGTATTCCTTAAAGAGGGCGGTTGTTGGTCTTTTAATCATTTTAATCATCTTTTAACACCTAACAACACTTTATACTTTTAAAAAAATTTTAACAGGGACCCTGTTTTTCCCTCATTCCCAGAGACAATGTCTTGCATCACACCGGGGAAGAAAACACTTCAATTGCTCAACTTGAACATTGCTAATTAACATAAAAACATTTAGCATCTCCAGGCCCCAAACAGCATACAGGCCCTGATGCACACCTTTGGAAACTCTACATTAGAAAATGTAAAATTAATCCAATTTAATATACCCCATCACAATAAATCCATTATTTATTTTAGGCAGGTCTAAAGAAACATTATAATATTAAGAAAAGTATTTCAGAAGAACAGAATATGAGTTGGCCTACTGTATGTTATCTGGCTATGCTCCATGCCATAGGCTGTAGGCTTGTTCATTAGCAGACAAGATTACAGTATGCTTGTAAGTCCCATGCCATTATTTTATTTATATGATTTTATGTAAGACGAAGACCTGTGAGGGGAACGGCACCTCCGTACTTCAGGCTTGATCAGTCCCTACACCCAAAACGAGGGCATTGTGTCATCCCCCTCTGGCCTGCTGGCCTCCCTACCTCTGCGGAAGCACAGTTCCCGCTCAGCCCGTCAAAACTGTTCGCTGCTTCTGGCCCCCCAAGGTGGAACAAAGCTCCCTCACGACGCCCAGGACAGCGGAGTCACTCACCACCTTCCCGGGGACACTTGAAACCCACCTCTTTAAGGAATACTGGGATAGGAAAAGTAATCCTTCTAAACCCCCCCCTTACCCCCACCCAAACCCCCCCCCCCCCCAAAAAAAAATTATAAAAAAAAAAAAAATTTCTTTAAAGTGGTTTTTCCCACTGGCATAAGGTGATGCACCAATTTGTAGTCGCTCTGGATAAGAGCGTTGCTAAATGACGTAAATGTAATGTAAAGTAAATGTAAGAATATAATTTAACTGAATACAATTGGTGGCTGACTAATACTTTTTTCCCCACTGTACTCCAACGGTGAATGGAGGCCCCTTTCCCGTGGTTAGTTTCTTCAGCTACTCCGGTTATTTTATTCCATCCACCCTGTTGAGGAGGGGCCTCTTGCTGGGGGGACAGGTGATTTGCCGCCCAAACCCTGTATGCCGTTGGGCTCCCCAAAACCCTGCTCTCCACCCTCCCCAGTATCTGTTTTGCCGTGGGCTCTCCAACCCTGCCCTCCTCCCCCATTACTCTGTTTTGCCTGGGTCCCCCAACCCGCCCCCAAACCCAACCCCTGTTTGGGGGGGCCCCTCCCCAAACCCTGCTCCCTCCGCTACCCTTACTCTTTTCCCCAGGGGGCTTTTCCAAACCCCCTTTTCCCCACCCTTCCCCCGTACTCTGTATGCCGGGGGGGTTTCCCCAAACCCCCTTGCTCCTCCAGCTACCAAGTATTCTGAAATCCCAAAGGCTCTCCAAAAACCTGTTCCCCCAGCTACCCAAACTCTTGCCGGGGGCTCTCCAACCCTTTTTCATCCGGGTTTCCCCGACCTTTTTCCTTTGGTTTCCCAAACCCCT